CCCCCCCCCCCCCCCCCCCCCCCCCCCCCCCTCAAGTCAAATTTTCATTAAACTTTTTCACGGTGAAAAATTGTGTTCTAGCCATCGTATGGTCACTATAATGTGAGAACCGTATCATGGAAAAAAAATTTGTAGTGCCTCTAAAACTCAATTGGGAAGCGTCAAAGTTATAGATTAGAGGTAGTTTGATGCAGGCTACAAAACGGCTGACTTAGAATTCTTTTTCCAACACTTTTAATTTTTGGGTCTCTGAAGTCACGGTTTTTGAACTCCGGCTAAGAAACTGAAATTGGGCCATGGAATTCATAATGAGAATAGAGAATTACATAGAAGAAGAGTAATTCCACAGTTAAAACGATCAATCAGCTGGAACGGTTTCCTCGTTAGAATCAATTTCTAACATTTGAATAAAGTATATGTTACAGGGAATGTATTTATTCCTCGATTTCCTACATTCCTTGTAACACATATAAACCAACGAGCTGTGCAACCTCATACTACTTTGATGATTAGTGCAAAAAAGTATGAACGAGATTATTCTTCTCTCTCGGATATTACTACAATGTTGACTTTTGAAACAAAAAGACAGCCCGAGTTGTTCAGCATGGACTTATTCGAGAAACAGACACTTTTTTTGATTTAGTTACAATACATTCTTGAATTATCAATATACTAACCTACTACCATATCATAAACATTATTAACTAAATCGTCTATTAATTGATCTCTTGTTCTATTAGATGGTTGTAGGATAATATTTGGAATAAAGCCTAGTTGTTGCTGTAAAACATTAATTATATCCATTGAATAACCAATCATACTATGATTACTATTATTTTCCATTATTATAAATGGTTCTACATTAACAACACATATTCTTAATGGAATACTGTCGAGTGTAGGATAATCAACAAATGGGTTTAATTGTATACCAGGCCATACAATTAAATTACGGTCAATATAATCATACCATTTACTATTGATCCATTTTAGTACAGACATAAAATGAATGTCATTTAAATTTGTTGTTGGTTGTATATTTTGAATTAAAAAATAAGATCCATTTGAAAGTCGATCATTTGTTTGAGAATCATATGATACAAGACCAGTTAAGCCAAGAAATGAAATATTTTGGACTATATTGAGTAAATAATTAACATTGTATAATTGACAATCAAAACAATTTGTAGAACAATTAGAATAATATAATTGTTCGGTAGTATTCAATCCTTTTAATGATTGAATTAATGTCCATGCCGCATCAAATGTAAATAACGCTGAAGGACTTATTCCATTTTGGCCAGGAAATGTTTCAGGTTCATATTGTTGCCATATATCACATACATTATTTAATAATGTTGTATTAACTGGTTCATTTATTACCGAACCGACTGTTGTATCTACTATAAGTGTACCAACAAACTTTTTCCTTTCTGTTGAATTGTATTTATCTAATGTTATATTAGATGTTAAAATCCATAAGAATTTTGAGCTAAGTACATTTTGTTTAATTGCATTATCTAATATTGACATAGTTGCATTTGAATTTGCCCATACAACTATAATACGTGCAGTACCAGTGATCAAAAGTTGTTCCAAATCACCGTCTAGTATTGTTTGTGTTATTGTATCAAATCGAATTTTATTTACTATACGTACACTATTTTTGTTAAATTGTTCCGTTAATACATCTAAACCATTTAAACCATAAAGATCAATTGTATTAATAACTACACACTGAGTCCATTCATATTTTGTGAATAACTGAGCTATTGCTAATGCTTTTGTAATATCAGTTGGTAGAACACGATGTAGTGTTGAATATTGATTACGACTTAGTATATCAGAAGTAAAAGATGCCATTGAAGGAATACCAATTTTTTCAGCAAATAAAGCAATTAAAGAATTTATTGAACCAACAATGCCAATTATTTCTGAGTTGGATACTGCTTGACAAGTAATATCAAGTTCGTTTATTATACTGATACTTTCACTGTTATAACTACTATCAATTATATTAAAATCTTGCCAACCTAGAGGATAACCATGATATGTTATGTTATATAAATGGGAGAGTGCTAATGCTGATTTAAACATAGCTTGAGATTGTAATGTATCAGGATTAGTTGTATCAAATAAGCCTAATAATTGAATAAACGATGAGTCCATTTTTGGCCAATCGCAGCGGTTTGTTACTACCATCATACAAAATAGAAGAAGTCCAAATGAAGAAACACCCATTGTTAGTTGTTCTAGCTTTCTTTAATCGTAAGACTAAAAACAAGTGATACAGTATTATTTTCATGAATGTTATATTTTACAAGTGGACTATTGTTAGACCTTTTTCTGCACAGAATTGAATTCATACGAATTAATCTCAATTAAAACTTTTATATTTCCATATATGGTAGACAAGAACGTTGCAGGTAGAGTAAAGAGTAGTACGAGTAGGCCTAATAGAAGTACAAATATATGTTGCTCATTTGCTTATAAGATTACTTTTTTATGTGACTGTCATCATTAGACATAACAGAACATAAAAATATGAACATTTACTAACATGACATTTAGCACATGTAAGAAAAGATGTAGTATTGATCATTTTACAGCTCTTTGTTCTCGTTTCAATAGTCTCTGTAAATGGGACTAGACTAAACTAGAAAGAAAATAAAATCTATTTTATAAAATACAAGTAGACAACCATTATATACGCTATTCTGCGAAAGATAAGCTATTTCACACTATGAAGGAGGAAATATTATAAACAATTTAAAAATCAGACTAAATCTTTTAAACCATCAGAATACGTTTGTTGTCGTCCGATAAACAGAATAATATTATTGTCTGTGAAAAGAAATAGTGATCGCGTTCATTTTTTTAATAACTTTTTAACGGAACAAGATGAACACCTGCGGCTTCCAGTATCTTGTAGCCAGGACCTGTCCCAGCATCTTCCTATGCAGTCAGCATTTAATTATTATAAAACTAAACGTTTAATAGTAATAAAACTGTTTGTGTCTTTTTAACAATTCATTAAAAAGACTTCTCTCTTTTTATCCATCAGTTTTTTGTTTGGTGCAAGTAGAACAAACATTTTGTAAATCGGGTCGGTTGTTAAGAACTGCACTGTAACAATTTTTCAGGCTCTCTCAGAAAAAATCAGAAATAACTGATCATACAGTGAGTGTAAGAAGTTTCTGGACACTACAAAAAGTTATCTCACATGCTCAATATCTCTAGATAGAAAAGAGATAACAAAATTACTTTTTCATTGTTGTATACAGCAAAGCCTATTGTACATTTTCGTCTGCATGACAAAATTTTAAAGCTCTTTAACCCTTAAACTTGAATACAGCTCAATTCTAAATATACTGTTGAAAAGAGCGTGAAAAACTACATCAGAAACAATTCTTAGACAAAAAAATAGATCATTCCCGCCGATCATTTCAATTAATCTTTTAATTGCTCTAGTCATGATTTTTGAGTGACACTTATCCCATATCGCATATTTTTGGCTTAAATCTCTTCTTTCGATTAAAGAAGACGATACTTCTTTCTCTTTTTGCATGCTCCATTAGTTGAAAAAAGCGGTGAAAAAATAGTATGTAAAATAGTATGTGTCGCAAAAGAATTTTGTCTTCTTTAAACGTATTGTAGAGCAGCTGTGGAACCCGATCCGAAGGTTGGATACACGTACGAAGTTGTCGGATACGGGTCGGGTATGGGTAGAGCAGTTACAGGTACGGGTTCCGCTATTTTATAATTTACCCGAAAACCACGAAATTTTAGTGAAAAATTACAAGATTTTTGCTAAAACACATGAAGTTTTAAAAGAGTTACTTCAGAACGTAATGATAACTTGACATGTCCAGCCGAACAAGAAAAGTTTTCAACTGGAAAATGAAAAGGAGAAAATTTTTAAGCATAAGTTAGGTACGGATAGAAAGTTATCGCGTCGAGTACGGGTGGGGATAGGGAAACAGTAACATGAACAACAGGGACATGATAGATGCCACTCAGATACCATGACTGAAGCTATTGGAAAATTAATTAGCCTCTCTCACCCGAAACATCTCGGAAACCATCGGTTTAAGGGACACGATTACCTTTAGTGACTGTACACTTCCAATAAAGTGTTAAATTTTATTAAGTAGACGGAAATGTATACATTCTCTGAAAGTCCAAGCGTGAATGTTTTCTTCACATATGGCAAACGTTTCCTTACGGTAAAACTCACAGGCTAGCTATAAAACGTTTAACCACTCTCACTTTTATTCGAGCTCAAATGCGAGTTATATGGCAAACCATAGTTGAGAAATACATGAGAAAAAACCATTAATATGATTCTTACGACAAGTAGAAAGGATTTAGACAAAGAGAGGTCGTGTTAATAAAACTGCTGTGTACAAGTTTGATCTCAACTTCAAAGTGAGTCTGAGGTGAATGATTTGACCCTGATTGCATTATGTTCTCGAAGAGAAAATGGAATAAAATACGTTGAAAACAGTGTTTACCGTAGGACACACTTTCTTTTTAAGTGACTCTTTTATATCAAAAATTGTTTTTCACTGTTTTTTGTAACACATGCGGACTGGGTGAATCTGCGAAAGCAGTCGACTAAAAATCGACAATATAAACATACAAAAAAGACTTCATTATGCATAATCCAGAACAAGAGAAAGTGCACTGTTACTATAATTAGCGCCAAGCTAATTGATAAATAGTGTTTTCCCGTTTTTTGTATTAAAAAGACGTTTAAGAGTTTAAGAAACAAGTAAATAAATAATATAGAGAAAAAGTGTCCTACGGTCCTTTGACAACAGAAATATTTGTGCAAAGCCAGACTTCTGGTCGTAGTTCTCAATTTCCCAAGCAAAAAAATGCCTTTGAGATTATCTAGCTATAAAAATATGTTATCGGGCAATATCGGCTTGTGATAGCTAGCTATCCGTACCACTTTTATTGAGTTAGCTAGCTATATCGAGTATGATA